GACAGCGCGCTTTCGAATGGGCGATACAGAAAAGGATTTAACGTGTTTGCGATAGCGCAAAAGCGGTCAGTCGTCGCCGATACGTCATCGAAGGTGGAACGTTAGCGTTACAGAGAGATCGACACTCTGCTTTGTCCCCCCCCCCCCGCGATGGCTGTGATCGACGGGAGCGAAAATATTCGTGAACGCGAGAAGATCGTGAAAGATATTGCGAAAACGAGTGATTCGATTCGCAAGAAACTTTGCACTTTCAAGACCGGTAAGATTGAGAAAAACATTGAGTTGGACACGCACTTTAGACCTCTCATCGAGCCGTTGAAAAATATCGTCGACAACTCGAACTTGTCCGCGGTGAAGAAAGAGGAGCCGACAGAGAGCGTCGCTGACGCGAAAATCGAACCGTTATCCGTTCAACAGCGCAAAAAGGAGAAGGAGGAGGAGGAGGAGGATGCTACACCGAAGAGAAAGAGGAAACGATTAGACTCCTGGTCGGATCTGTCATCAACACCGCGTAAATCTAATCAATCGTTAGTACTACCGATAACCTCTACACCGTTACCGATAACCTCTACACCGACGCGAACCGTGCAACGTACAAGTCTCGACTTACCGACAAACGTGGATGATGTTTTCGAAACCACGGACGACTCGATCGGGACGACCGTTCAAAAGCAGTTGCAAACGTCGAAGGGTCGAGAATTGTTTATAGAAACGTTGCAAGGTCACTTGGGTCCACTGAGCCGATTGTACATCGCGTCTGATTTGGGCGCCTATCCAACGATGGACATCGTATACAACGTTTATCTCGGCAAGAATGAAATGATGCTCTGTGTTTCAAACTCGAAGGACCAGAAACTCATCTGGGTCAGAAGCCAGACTTGTTTCAATGCGGTGCGGGGTAGGGAGGTTCGCGCTCCGTTTAGGTACGCGGTAGGATCGTAGGATCGCAGAACAGCAGTTTTAGTCAGTTTAAATTGTTGTTGTTAAATTGTTTGTACTGTGAGAGAAGGTCTTTATTTGCTGAGGTGTCACAAACATGTTTTTACGTGAACACTACAAAACTGGCACTTGTTATTCGAATAGCCGTGTTGAACGATGACACGGCAGCTTTACACCAAAATGGCCGATAACGGCACACGAGGCGCTTACAGAAATGATCGCGGGAGTTTTTGTACACGAACAAGGCGGCAGATTACACGAATATGGCCGATAACGGCGCACGGCGCACGAAGCGCTTACAGAAATGATCGCGGAATGTCTTGCACGCGGTAGAACGGCTGAACGTGGCACCTTACATGCACAACGTGGTATCTGAGTTTCTCTCGCGAGGGAGGACGGCCGATTACGGCGCAGATCACTCGCAACCCGCAAGATTGCACTTAAACTCTCGCGAAGGGTGACGGCCGAGCGCAGCGCAGATCACTCGCAATCGGCGAGATTGCACTTGAGCCTTGAACTTTCGCAAGGGGTGACGGCTGAGCGCAGCGCAGATCACTCGCAACCCGCAAAGTTGCATTTGTCTCTCGCAAGGGATGACGGCCGAGCGCGGCGCAGATCATTCGCAACTCGTGAGATAGAATACGATTCTCTCGCGAGGGGTGACGGCCGAGCACGGCGCAGATCACTCGTAACTCGCGAGATTGAATACGGCCGAACACGGCACTTAACGTTCAAACGGAGGGCACTTAGAATGCGTCTCAAAACGTACTGCCCGGTGCGGGACGACGGATAGGCTGAATCGACGCGGTGAACCACAATATCGTGCGACGAGTGGGTGTCCTTTTACGACACGCGGGATAGCAGGCTGACGGCGGACATCTTGTCGCGACGCGAGCCGAGAATCTTGTTGCGGTACGAGCGCGAATCTCGTATCGACGCGAGCGGAAATCTTGTCGCGGCACGAGCTGAGATTCTGTCGGCGCGAGCGGAGATCTTGTCGCGGAGCTGGCGGAGATCTTGTGTGGCCCGCCACCCGGCTCAACTTTCGGTTTTCGCGGATGGAGACACGTGTGGTTCACCGGCCGGCTACAGACGTACTTTCTTCCGCGCATCCGGCGGCGCCGCGACGCGAGAATGAAGGACCATGCCAATCGATTTTGATAGATATGCGGGTCGATGTGCGAACGCTCGCGCAATTTGATTGGTTGCGGAGCGCTCCTGGAATCGCGTATGCGGCCGATAAGAACGGGATCGTGGTAGCGCTTCCTCATCCGTCGCGAAGGACTCGCCGTGCGCGTGAACTCGCCCAATCCGGAACACTCGGTAATAAACGTTTTGACGTGGATAAAGCGGATAACATTTATATCGACGGCGTACGATACGCCGGCACACCCGGTATTTACGAGTTGATCTTCAAGAAAATACCCGATTACGATATCTACACGGAGGACGATAGGCAAAAGTACAGGAGCATACTGTTGGCAACGAGTGCTCATAAATACAAGCACAATCCTCGCGAGCAAATAAAGAGCAACAGGGAATACAAGTATACACAAATAATCGCACCGTTGATGTCGACCGACTCCAAGAAGAAAGAATCCGGAAAGGGATTATTCGCGCCTCGCGCGATGACGCTAACCGACACTAAGATCGACTACGTGCACTGGGACGACCCTAACGAGCTGGTGGATCGTCTGCGATTGCTCGACGCTTTGCGTCAAGCTGGCAACAATGCCCACGACAACGAGATCATGTCGATCATCGAGGAACTTCGCGAGGCTGGGCTTATTATAAATTAAACGGCGCGACAGCGATCTGTTCAATCAGCGTCGAAATGCCGATCAATAAATTTGGATTGTTCGAGTAGAGCGAAGACGCGACGAATCCCATTTTGTACCATCGGTGGAGCGGATTAGTGAGAAATTTCGTGCGCGACAACTCTCTGTGTCGCCACCGCCACGGACTTTGACGCAAGGTCGCGCAAGATTTGTCGCGTAGCGCAACCTAAGACTGACGGTGACGCGGTTAACAAACTATAAGTGGATCAGTGCGTTAAAAGTTTGACAGATCAACGGAAAGAGTCAGACGAGAAACTTGCTGCGTTCGAGAAGGACGTGCGAGCGTTACAGGTTGCGGTGAACAAGCTTCGACGTGCGAATATCGTTAGATTGGGAACGGCTAATGAACGATGAAGAAACGGTTCAGCAGAAACGACTATCGAACAGCGACGAGTGAAGAAAGGCAACGGTTAATTAACGACGAAAACGAACAGCAACGAGCAATTCGAGAACGGTTGTCGAACGGCTGTAAAACGGTTGAAGAACGGTTGTCGGACGATTGTCGAACGGTTCAAAAACAGCTCAGAAACGATTACGAGCGGTTTAGAGACAGCTGCGAACTACGCGGAGACAGGAAACGCTACAAACGGATAAAGAACGTCGACGACGACGACGACGACGATGAGTGATAAGAAGCAGTTACTGACGATGACGAACGACAACAAACGATTCGAGAACGGTTGTCGAACGGCTGTCGAATGGTTCACGAATGACTCAGAAGCGGTTTCGAACTGTTCAGAAGCGGTTATGAACTGTTCAGAAACTGCTACGAACGATGCACTAGAAGCAGAAACGGCGACAACAAAACATGAGACCGTTAAAATCCGATGTGGATAAAAATATCAAAAAGCGACAGTTGGTGGACGAATTGCACGCATCGGAGAGAAGAAATTTTCCTTGCAAACACGTCATAGTGCGAGGGTACGACAACCTGTGACAGGCTGACATCGTCGAGATGCGCCCGTTCTCGCGTTTCAACGGAGGCTACCACTACATACTTACCGTCATCGATGTGTTGAGCAAGTACGTGTGGGCTGTGCCGCTTAAGGGCAGCAAAGGCAGCAGCGAGACAGCCGACGCTATCGCCAAAATAATTCGAGATAGCGGGAGGTGCCCTAGTAACCTACAAACAGACATGGGAAAGGAATTTTACAACACCGACGTGCAACGTCTCGTGAGAAAACACGGCATCAATCATTATTCCACGTATGCGGTGATGAAGGCGTCGGTCGTCGAGCGATTCAATCGCACGTTAAAAAACAACATGTGGAAGATGTTTACGCTCAATGGAAATTACAAGTCGTTCGACGCGTTATCGCGACTCGTGTCGGATTACAACGCGCGCAAGCATCGAACGATCGGCATGCGACCCGTCGACATTACCACCGCGATTGCCGAAAAACTCTTGGCTACGATGTACAGCGCGATAAAGATTGCGGGCCCGGCAAAGTTTAAAACAGGCGATTCGGTACGCGTCAGCAAATATAAGACAATTTTCGAGAAGGGTTACACGCCGAATTGGACCACCGAGGTGTTTAAGATCGTTAAAGTGCAGCATACCAATCCCGTAACCTATCTACTCGAGGACTATCGTGGAAAATCCGTCGCTGGAGCGTTCTACGAGCACGAGTTGCATCGCGCGACTTATCCGGATGTGTATCTCGTGGAGAAAGTACTGCGCAGGAAGGGCGACGAGGTTTACGTGAAATGGCTAGGATTCGATGGAACTCTTGGATACACAAGAACAATGTTATTTAAACTGTATTTTATTCTTAATATAAAAAATGATACATGTAAAGTGTTTTGAAATATGTAATACATATAAAGTATATAATAAAAAATATTGAATACGAAATACATGTACGATATCTTTATTAATATCCTTCCATTAATATACATACGTTACATTAAATACATACATACATATACATATGTACATACGTATATACATTATATTACATATATTGCATACATTACATACATTACATACATTACATACATACATATGTCATGTTATACTACTACATACATACATTATATTACATATATTGCATGCATTACATACATTACATACATTATATTACATACGTTATATTCGATAATGTTCCCACGGCAACGTATCGGTCGAATCCGGCACGATATATAGCTCATCGTCGTACAGACTCAGAGTGATTTTCGTCTCGCTGATAGTGTACACTTCGTGCTTTTTCGATCTTATGCACGACTGCGGTCGAGTCATTTCGATCTCATCGTTCAGACACCGCGAGTAGTCGTCGAACGTGATGGTTCGCGCGATGACGTTGCTTTTGACACCTTTCGCTTTTTTAGTGTCTTTCTTATCATCGACTCGCAAGGCGTACATTTTCCCCCTAAGGGTACATTTTCGCCAACGAATTCAGTCATAATGGCATCGTTGTTTTCATCCTTCATCAGGCCCAGCACTTGTTTATTGACGAGAGGCATACTATAAGCGTTATCTACCGCGTAGTCACTTGTGTCAAACCTGACTATATCATGTTTCATGCTCTCGTACGTGTTGTCGCACTCGATATGATAAATCAGACTGTCCGTGTCGGTGTACATGATATACATGATTTTACACGAGTCGCGGTACAGGGGAGATATGTACTCGTGGTGAAATTCGTATAGGCACACCTTCGACAAGTCGAGGATGCACATGCCGACGTAGATCGGTTTGTCGAATTTCACCTCGAGTTTGCGCAGTTCGACGGCTACCAGATTTTCCGAAAACACGCTCCTGCTGTGGAAATTCGGTCGCGCGATTATTGCCTCCGCGTCGTATCGTCCGTCCCACTTCGTCAGTAATTTTACATCGACGTGGTTGCGTACATTCTCCATCGTTTTCCAAAAAACAGCGTTATTCATTAATTTATATAAAGTTTTTTCGAACTCATTTTTGGCCTGTGTCCTAAATTTTGTATTGAGTTCGATGTAGCGGAGCCACTCAGATTGAGCGAATTGCAATACGCGATTTATTTTTGTGACGCGAAGGCCGTGACGCGTGCATTGCTGCAGATTACGATAATGGATGACATAACGCTTCTTATCGTGCAGCGTGGCAAGAAGTTTGTCCTGCCGTTTGCCGGGCGGTTTAGCGTGCATCGGACAGAACGGTAAGTCAGCGTGCGCGTCGTGTTTATCCTGCGGATACTCTAGATCAACCTCGAGAATATAGCCCGTAGGCGAATTTAAAGCGATCGCGCTAAAGTCGAAATTTGACACGTCTTCGACCCATCGAAACTCCGCGTAGGGCAGTGGCTTACACATCGCCCAGCCGTACAAGTTGTTGACATTGAAGTACATTAGGTACGACGACGGTTTCGATGGACTGTACGACTGCATGTATGTACTTGTTGTTGGCCTGCGCGTATCTGCCGAAACACTGACTCAGACCGCCGCAAATACCACGTTCAATAAACATAACCATGTCAATGTCGGTCAGCAATTCGAAATTGATACATGTATGTTTCAACATGTCGTCCCACGTAAAGCCTGGTAAGGTGCAGTAGTACGCGGGATCAAGTCCGTAACTCACGACGCAGATGTCTCGGAAATTTTCAAACACGTCGGCCAACAGCAAGACATCGGTTTTCAGGTATAGATCGCTGTATTCGCCCAGGGTTCGAACGAAGAATCGCTGCCATACGTTCGCGGCGTGCGCGTAATTGCTCTCGGATACGGTTTCACCGGTCAAGGAACTGTAAAATGAATCGTGCGGCGGTAAACACGTATCCTCCAGCTTTTCGACGCTGTCCACGTATTCGTATGGAAAGACACCTTTTCGCGTCAATAATTCGAAATCGTCGTCGGATAACGTGGAAAATTTGGAACGTATAATTTTTAATTTATTTTTATCGAGGAAGGATGCCAATTTTGCGAGACTCGCGCTCAGAAATTTGTACGAGTCGATGAATTCTAATTTTATATCGCTTCGCAAATCTGATCTTTCCGCGGTGTTTTTCACGTGTTTAGTGAATGAGATGTACTTTTCCTTTGTTATAGGCAGTACATCGGAGCCTTCGAACGCGACAGCTATCTCCTTGATAATGAAATGCGCGTCATAGCCCGACAGATTGTGGAATATTACTGGGATGAAGTGAGAATCTTTATAATTCAGATTGCACGTCGAATGTGCTGGACCTCTGTAACGCCCGGTCAGGTGGCAATGATCGCGTACACGATTTTTATCCGGCGCAAACGGTTTTTCACAAATGTGACATTGCGCCGCGCTGTGAAATGTGTCCCACTCGTCTCGCGTTAGATCTACCATGCATACAATGTCGAACAAGATGTTCTTTACGCAATGCACCAATCCTTTGAGTTCTTCGGTGAACCACGCGACGCAGTCATTATCGCGACAAAATTGATACGTCGATAACGTTTTGTCGTACGAGCACTGTACGTAGTATGCTATACTACAGACCCGATGATGTTGATAGACGTATGACGCGTGTTCCGTCTCCGGTTGTGCCTTCTGCAGCACTCCAGATCATACACCACGAAGGAAAGTCCCTTTTTCCTGCTGTGGTTCTTGAAGCTAAGCCACTTGTTGTTCTCGCTCGGTAGTCTGATAGCGCAGTTGTTTACCTCTCAGCAGTCCACGGTGTGGGCTTCCAATTTCTTGCTCGTGTAGAAATAGTGCAAACATCTGCAAAAAAACAAATATTGTAAATTATATTATTAAATAAAATATTTTATAATTTTATTAAAAATGAGTATAGGTACTTACGCAAAAGTATTTCCGACTATGGTGCGTGCTCAACTGCGAGCTCATAAGACGGGATAGATTCTTAATCCACGCGAAATGTCCAACATTGTTGTCTCGCGGATCCTGCACGTACAGCAGATTCACGTGTTAATGACTCGTGCGGTCGGTAAGCCGTATTGGAAGAACGTTTGAAGTTTTCTGTCCCTCGATGGTATAGACATTGACGGATATATTGTTGAGTCGTTCGAACTGTTTAATTTGACTCAACGTCATTGAGAACTCAATGTCTCGTAAATTCAGTACCGTTGATTAATGCGGGTATGATGATTCCAGATCTGAATGTCTTTCGGCTGGATGCAGAGCAGCCATCACGGCCCACGCAAAACACGCATTGTCCATAGACAGCACATTGATCACCGCTCTATTCGTTTTAATGTCTTTAGGCAATTTCAAGTGACACCCCGCGCGCAAAGGATTGTACCTGTTGACGTTCACCGTCAAATTGAGGATTCGAGTCAATGCCCACCCACTGTCGCGTTCCTGGAACTCCTCGAGTTTTGTTAATGTGGGCTCGATAACGTGCCGCTCGTACCACTCGCGCAAGTGCGATGTACTACAGAGTTCTATGTTATTTGTACATATGCTCTTATTGGCACGGTTATCACCCGCTACAAACTCTCCGTTGAACGCGGTGTTTACTTTGACACAATTATGTGTTTTTATAATGTCTCGCACTCGCTTGCACACTACGCTGCAGGCGTCTTCCAAAAACTGTCGCAATTCTATATAGTTTGTATTAATTACCGCACCGGTCATTATTCGCGTTTCGAACGCGGCATCAATTTCTCGCCATACGAGTTCTGCCGTGCGCGTGTCACCACTGGTACCGGCGTTCGCATAATCACCACCGCTATGGATAAATTGTTTTTCCAATCGCAACTTTACACCCTCGAGTCGCGCAATTCTGGCAACCAACGATTGCCTATGCCAGATCGTTGGATTGTCGGAGAGCCGCTGACGTTTGGCACTACAACGTGTCTCGAGCTGCTCGATGAATTCCGTGCATTGCAGCGGATGATCTTGAAAGATCATTTTTTCTTTTGTTTTACGTATTGCGTCGTAAAAAATAGCGCGAAATTGTTTAGTCTACGCGATAACACCCCCTTTTCTTAGAAAACATTTGTTTACAATGAACGTGTCCTGACAGGTTCGATGCGTTATCGGATCGATCATCGTCCCGATGACGTTATTTCTTTCTTTGTTTTTTACGTACTGCGTAGATAGAGCAGTTCTCCGATATCGCGTCCACTGTGACGGATCCTAAGAAAGCGTCAAATGTAATATACGCTAGCAATGCGTTCAATACAAATCAGCTCATCGATTGTGAGCTCGCAGCTTTAGTTTTTTAGCACGTAAGATATATTACGTAAAAGAAGAGTTAAATAAACAGGCTTTTTTTCACACCTAAATGAACGATGTAATTTCTTTGCGTGCATGTTTATCCCTACCTACATTTTATCAAATGTTGTTTACGACGAACATGTTCCAACAGGTTCGATGCGTTATCGAGTCAATCATCGTTGATGACGTCATTTCTTCCTTTGTCTTTTACGTAGATAAATTATTTAGCGAATTTGTTTAGTCTACGCAATAACTATACCCCCTTTTTTCCTAGAAAAATGTTGTTTATGACAAACATGTTCCGACAGGTTCGATGCGTCATATATTCTTTTGTTTTTTTATGTACTGCGTCGTAAAAAATAGTGCGTAGATAAATTGTTTAGTCGACGCGATAATCGCCTCCTTTTCCTAGAAAAATGTTGTTTACGACAAACATGTCCCGACAAGTTCGATGCGTTATCGACAAAACACGCTCCTACGCAGTGCGCTATCGAGTTAATCTTACCCATTGTGCGCCGCCTAGCGGCGTCGTTGCAAACGTACCCCGCGGCGCAACCGCGATTGCGAGCGACCGGCGCGACGCGCACCCCCACGCAGACCCCGCGGATTCCGCGAACCCGCAAACCCCTCACGCGGACTCCGCAAACGCGAACGCGGACCCCTCACGCGGCGATCGCGAACGCGGACTTCCTTTCCCGCGGGCCCCGCGGCGCGGATGAGTCATCCCGGTTACTCATCCCGGTGTTAAGGTCAACCCCCTCCTCTCCCCTTCCCCCGCGTAATCCGATATGCTTGAAATCCGATACCTTTGTGTAATCCGATACCCCGCCTTTCCCCTCCCCCTCACCCCCTTGTGTTATCTTCTTGTAATCTGATACCCTTGTGTAACCCGATACCCCGCCCCCTCCCCCTAACTTCCTCGCGAAATCCAATACCTCCTCTCCCTCACCCCTCTCGGAGCTCCCTGGTTAGAACGCCCATAGGTTAACTACTAAAGCTTAAGGTGATCCTATAGTGGCAGTCGTTACCGACATTTTGTTTAAAAAGGAAAAGAATTCGCTCGTTAAACATAAAAAAAGATCAGTAAAAGATTTAAATGAATTGATTCCGTAAACACACCCTCGCGAGGGCCGAGCCCTGCACGCGACCGAAGAACACAGGCCGCATTGCAAATGGGACCGATGCGCACGAGTCGACGGCGCAGAACTGTATTCCTACGCGCGCGACCACCGCTAGAAGACGGTGCGGGTGAGGATCAGTAGAAGTCTGGGCTCCGTAGCAATAGCATGTTTTTCTAAAACTGTGATAAAGCGATTGAACCGTCTAAACTTAGATTTATACGAACGATCCAAGTAAGAGATCGACGGCATTGTACTGACAACGAGACGAACTATATCGATATTGGGTAATGATCCAAGTAAGAGATCTAACGCATAGTTTGGACATTACGCTGAGAACCATAACCTAGGGTAACGTATGGCCGGAAGGAAGTTTTACCTCGACACCATTCCGAAATAGAGATGGACTCGTTTACGACGGCCATTATGAAAAGTCATCACCTTTCGTAGCTACAACAGTAATTGCTCATCCATGCGAGATGAATTGCACCAAACAAGGTAAACTAGAGATTTCTGTATTCTAACCATAGATCACCTGATTGAGTAATTCGACGACTGTAATATTATTACAGCCTTTAATCGATCTTTGGTTGCAGAAATCTCTTCGATGAGAATCTCATTTACTCAAACGGAAAGAATTCTTAAACCAATGGATTAACCTCCTTCGTGCGTTTAGTTGTTTTTATTGAGACGTATTAGATTTCTTAAAGGACTTTACCTACTACAAAAACTCGAGCCATTAATATCCTTGTGCAAAAGCCATCGTGTAATACTTCCATATTTAACGTTAATAGCATGCGTAATTCATACGATTCTGTGTATGTTTGAGTCCGATTATAGAAATAAGTATTCTTTTATACTGACATAAGTATATACATTTGCGACTTTATGGTTAATGCGTAAACAATCTTACCTTTTATTTCAAATTGATAACAACTTGATAAAGCGAATATTTTTTTTCCGTTTAAACTTATTTTCTTACCAAACCTTATTTAATTTTTATCACTTAAAGATATCTCTGATATTATGTATATTTAATTGTCTTTCCTCATAATACGTGAATATTCTCAAGATAGTTACGCATTAATCCAAATACTAATTGTTTAACGTGATATATATTGTATGAAATATAAACATTCTAGTTTGATATGTTCAACGAATCTAAGGATATGTGGCGGCAGTATGGTCTAGTGGTAAAACGCCAGACTCGTAATCTGAGGAACCAGGTTCGAGTCCACTAGAGCCATGAAGCATGAAATGTTTTTCCGATAGCTGCGCCCCTTCGTGCAAGATAGGCTCTTGTGCGGAGAAAACTGGGCTCCGTCTTTCGGAAAGAGACGTTAAGCCGTTGGTCCAAAGGGTTAAAGTGAGAGGAGAATAGTATTGGTAGTAGATTGCGAACCCTGCGGGGATATGCAATAAATTACGAATATAAGAAACTAAGAATATGTAACCATATGAATTAATTGATGTTATAAACAAATACCAAAGAACCTAAGGTCACTATTAATATAAATAAAACTTATTACTAATCGATAAACCCTAAGTTTCCCATTAATCGTTCTTTTATACAGTCTTTAACCAAATTATACTAACGAGGTTTCTTACTTTTTCAAACACATTTAGTTAAATGCATTAAACTTTTAATTGGCTTTACGAAATTACAAAATTCTTTTACAGAATTAAAGTACGTACAAAAATGTAGGTCGGTCTGGTCGATTTTACATCAAAAACAAAAAAAAATTAAAATAATGAGTATTGGACTCCCGAAATATAAAATAAAGATCAGGAATGGCTATAGGAGTCAGACGCAGTTGTCAGTGCGTAAAAAAAGCTTAAGCGATTTCATCAATCGAGTATATTCAAACGTTTCGGCTCGGGATTGAGCCATCTTCAGTGAAATATATAAAAAAGTTAATAATTACTTCCATTCTCCTTGTTGGATCGGTGAGTTTCGAGATTGAAAGATCCCAAAAAACAACATTGACTTTCGAATTACTGTCTGTAACAGATCCAGAACGAACAATGATATTCAATATTTCTGTCAGTATCTTAATTCGAGTCAATTAACGAGATGTGGTTAAACTTACCCGATAACCAAAAAGAACAAGAGTATTACAAAGCCATACAGAGTATATGACGAGTCTTCCGAAAAGATACAACATTATATGCAGAGACAAAATTAAACGAACATGTCAAGAAGGCGGACGGAAAAATTCTAACGTCAATTTCGTCATGTCACGTTCACAATAACCAACCGTGACCAATAAAATATTAAAACATAAAGGGTCGCCACTATGAACATTCAAAAACTAAAAGCAGTGGTACCTCCAAACACAGTACATACAACAACAATAAGCATGGTTTACAATTTGTTTAGTATAGATACATAAGCGTGGTGAAGAAAATTTGTATCAGTTTGTAAATTCAGACTGTTCTTCTGTAACTTAATATGCGCCTTTCCGAAACTAGTCTTTTAGATAGAAATCTCTCTTTGTCTAGTATCTCAACGTTCTCCTAATCGAATTCATGGTCAAAATTAATCCT